ATCTATGGCAAGCATCCTCAGAGGTGAAGTCTGCTGGAACTGGGAAAAAAGAATCCAGAATCCAAACAAGAATCCAGGAACATGAAAGGCACTGCAGACTACTTCAACCAGAGAAATCAGCCATAGCAGAGCACCTGATGAACCAACCTGGACACAGCATTTTATTTGAGAACACAAAAATGCTGGACCACTCTAACAACCACCATGTCAGACTACACAGAGAAGCCATTGAAATCCACAAGCATGTGGACAATTTCAACAGAAAGGAAAAAAAATGAAACATACCAGTATAAAAAAAAAAAAAGAAAAACAAAAAAAATCGCCCCACCAAAAACTAAAATCTAGACAAAAATGTTTAAACAAAAAAAAAATAACTAAAACAGGAAAAAAAGATGCCACACTATAAAATTCAAGAAAACTAAGAGAAAAAAAAAAAAAAAAATAAAAAAACTAAAATAAAAACAAAAAAATAAACAAAAAACAAAAAATAAAAAAAAAAATAAAAAAAAAAAAATAAAAAACAGAAAATAGAAAATAAAAAAATAAAACAAAGAAAAAAAAAAAAAAAAAAAACCTCTAAAAAAATAAAAATAATTAAAAAATAGAAAATAAACAAAAAACCAAAAAAAAAAAAATTGAACATGCAGAAGTAGGAAATTTCAACGAAACCATGAAAATGAACAAAATCTGGCTACCAGTATTAAAAAATTCTAAAATTGCAACAGCAAAAACAGCAGAGAGAAAAACAGGCAGGGACATCTAATCACCTTTCAAGAAGAGTTTGCTCCAGGCACAGTCAGCCCATTGTATGCTAATCAAGGTGGTCAGTTGAAAGATTCACACCTAGCCCAACTTACAAAAGCCCTTTGTCTCACCCTGGTCATTCCACAGATATATAAACCCCTTTTTTCCCAGTTCCAGCAGACCTCACCTCTGAGGATGCTTGCCATAGATGCAGGCGAAACGTCAGGAGAAATGCCTCTAGAACATGGCCATATAGCCCGAAAAAACCCACAAGAACTGACCTTCCAGTATTTTCTGTTTGTCATGAGAGTTCTGTGTGCCACCCAATTCTACGTATCATTGGCGGGGTTCACAATGCTCTTTGATTGTAGGTGAACTATAAATTCCGGCAACTACAACTCCCAAATGTCAAGGTTTATTTTTCCCAAACACCACCAATGTTCACATTTTTATTTATTTATTTATTTATTTATTTATTTATTTATTTATTTACTTTATTTGTATACCGCCGTTTCTCAGCCTAACCGGCGACTCAACGCGGTTTACAACAGGATAAAAACAGTCAACAGTCCACAATTCAAACAAAAAAAGCACAGTACACAATATTACACAACAGCAACAACCCGATGCATCTCATAACTAGAGTCGTGATCCAAAAATTCATCGTCCATATTTGGGGGCATATTGAGTGTTCGTGCTAAGTTTGATCCTGATCCTGATCCATCATTGTTTGAGTCCTCAGTGCTCTCTAGACGTAAGTGAACTACAACTCCAAAACTCAAGGTCAATGCCCACCAAACCCTTCCAGTATTTTGTGTTAGTTAAGGGAGTTCTGTGTGCTAAGACTGGTTCGATTCCATCATGATGGAGCTCAGAATGCTCTTTAATTGTAGGTGAACTATAGATCCCAGCAACTACAACTCCCAAATGACAAAATCAATCCCCCCCAATCCCACCAGTATTCAAATTTGGGCGTATCGGGGATTTGTGCCAAATTTGGTCCAGTGAATGAAAGTACATCCTGCATATCAGATATTTAATAATGTTATGGTTGGGGGTCACCACAACATGAGGAACTGTATTGATGGGTCCTGGCATTAGGAAGGTTGAGAACCACTGCTCTAGATCATAGAATCAGAGTTGGAAGAGACCTCGTAAGCCATCCAGTCCAACCCCATTCTGCCAAGAAGCAGGAAAATTGCATTCAAAGCACCCCCAACAGATGGCCATCCTGCCTCTGCTTAAAAGCCTCCAAAGAAGGCCTCCACCACACTCTGGGGCAGAGAGTTCCACTGCTGAACAGCTCTTACAGTCAGGGAGTTCTTCCTAATGTTCAGATGGAGTCTCCTGAGCTACATAAGGAAATCTTACAAAAAGAGACACGTCTGAACGTGGAGTGAAAATTACAAATTTTTGAAGGGAGTTCTTCCAACATTAGACCAGACTACCACTATCAATGAAGTTAAAGATGCTAGTGGGCAACAAGGGGAGTCATACAATAGTCTGTTTAAAACCCTCCAAAGAAGGAGCCTCCACCACACTCTGGGGCAGAGAGTTCCACTGCTGAACAGTTCTCCTTACAGTCAGGAAGTTCTTCCTAAACTTCAGGTGGAATCTCCTTTCCTGTAGTTTGAAGCCCTTGTTATAATAATAATATTAATAATAATAATAATAATACTTTATTTATACCCAGCAACCATCTCCCCAAGAGACTCGGTGTGGCTTACATGAGGCCGAGCCCACAATACATCAATAATAAAAACAATAACAACAAGTAATACAAAACAATAAAAATAAAACTCATAACAGAAAATAAGCAATAAACATTAACAGTAACACAACGACGTTTAAAAACCTATGGCTGGGCCAAATGTAATAATTAAAATTTAAAAATAATGCTGAGCATGAACAGGTGAAATATGACTAGGATAGAGTTTTCAGAGAGGGAAAACTCTCTGAAACTCCTAGTCTCCAGGGCAGCAGAAAACAAGCCTGCTCCCTGCTCCCTATGACTTCCCCTCACATATTTATACATGGCCCTCATCATGACTCCTCTCAGACTTCTCTCCTGAAGACTGAACATGCCCAGCTCTTTAAGCCACTCCTCATAGGGCTTGTTCTCCAGACCCTTGATCATTTGAGTCTCCCTCCTTTGGACACATTGCCAGCTTAGAGTCAACATCTATGTGGCTAAGTCTGGAAGGCCACAAATATTCAGAACTGGTGTCAACTCTGCATTGTGGCACTTGCCTTTCCCTTCAAAATGGTATGTAACATCCTGGAAAATCCCATACTAAAGCTTGGAGTCCAATGGCCAATCTACATCAAACCTTAATACAGGATGCTCCCAAAAGATGGACCTGAGTTTAAATCGGTGCATCTCTGCAACCACAAACCACCCATGAATGAAATTCTTACCACTTGAAGAGATGGAGTATAGAGTTTAAAAGAATTGCCACTTACACAGTTTTAAGGATTTTAACTGTGTGTTTTAAAAACGATTAATATTAAATTCTATTTTAAATTTTGTGGGTTTTTTTAGTTCTGAATTGTACTAAAATTAACATCATCATCATAATTATTGGAAATAGCAACCTTCTCAAGAATCCACTAGTTATTTGTTATGTATATAATGCAGTTTGCTTACTATATTGTATATGTGTGTATTGGTATGCAATTTTACATTAACTCTTTGTTGTGGGAGGGGTTGCAGACTGGGATTGTTCTGACCTCAGACTCCATTTTAGAACTAGTATGCTTAGAGACTTCAGTAGGAACAGATGTCTCAGACTCTCAGGCTGTACAGACTCCATTGGACTTTCACACTAGACAGAGACTCTATAAGACTCTCAGAACAGACAGATGCTTTAGATTAAGTACTGCACAATCTACAAAGAGAAACTACTTCAAATCTTATTTGTAACTAGATTGATATGCAAAGTACCTGTATGCTGAATACATGGTTTGTGAGTAAACCAACTGTGTTACTTTTACAGAAGTCTGCTTATTTTTGTCTCCTAAGAGCATGATTTAAAGGCAAGAAATTTTATGACAGAGTAGATTTTTAGAACACTTCTGAAACTTTGATATATGTGTGTGTTTTGTGCATTGGCATATCTTTGTCCCTAACAGTTCAAAGACATATCTAGGTACATCAGTTTAAAAGCTGAGAAACCTGAATGCCTTGCATGAATGCCATTTTCCCAGAAGGTTATGGCATCATTTTTCCAAAGGTTGTGACTTCTAACAAGGTCATAAAATCATAAAATCTCCAAAAGGTTATGGAGATTTCCATTTTCCAAAAATAACTGCCATTACCAATGAATAGACAGATTCTTGCCTCAGTTATTCGCAACCCTGCAACTTAAAACTGAATGAGATATTCTCCATTTGCTGACTTGTTTTTTCTGGCTCAAACAGGTTAGTAAAACTTGATAATTCATAAATGATTTGGAACTTTTTTGTGTGATTGCAATATGTTGGTACATTGTTATTTTATACTGCTTTGAACCTTGGTTCAACATTTTGAAACACCCTGTGTATGTACTGTTGCATCTGAGGAGTCCCAAAACTCAATATGTTATGGGGCCGGGCTCAGCACAGCAGTCTCAGCACACAACATGTTATGGGGCCGGGCTCAGCACACAGATCAAAAGTTCGGCAGTTTGATCCCGGGTCAGGGTGAGCACCCGCCATTAGCCACAGCTCACCTAGCAGGTCAAAAGCAGAAATTCAAGTAGATAAATAGGTACCGGTTTGAGCTAAGAGGTAATAAAGGCTCATGGAGAACATGATTGGAGGAAAGCTCCTTGGCATGGAAAATGGAGCAACAGCACCCCTCCCCCCATGGGCCAGAGTCGAGCACAGCCTCCAAGATGCCAGAAATAAAAGGAAAACTGCCTTTACCTCTGTTTGTCTGTCCTTGTTAACTGTATAATCGCATTGAATGTTTGCTGTATGTGTGTTCTGTAAGCCTGCTCTGAGTCCCCTTCAGTGAGAAGGATGGGGTATAAATACTGTGAATAAATAATACTTAAGCAGCCAAGTTATTAGGCTGAAGATTCTCTACCCATGTGAATACAGGTCCTCATCATCAACAACTTTAATTAATTTGACTCAAAGCATGTGCCACAAGAACTCCAGCACTGGTTCATGTGAGTAGATGAAAAGAAAATGAGGAAGCTGCATGTCGCTATGAGGAACGACTTCTCAGTGAAGGAACATCTAGACAAAATTGTTGAATCCAAGAGACCTACCATGATGAGGAGATGCTCACGCCTCTGCAAGCACTTGACCATGGCTTCATGCTGCTCACGTTTTTTCTTCTCCTCCAGAAGCTGGTTCTGAACCTTCAGTAATTCCTCCTGGAGCTGCTTCCGTGCTTTCTCCAAAAGCCTGGCACTAAATAATACAAAGTGATCAAATGTTCAGTAAGTGTCAACGACATGGTTCTACTAAAAGTCATTCATTTTGATAGGGTTCACGATTCATGGTTTCCTGTAACCGTGGAAAGTCCAGGAAATGTACTGGAGATAATGAAGTCATACCCTACAACACTTACCATAACTGGAGTTTAATACAAGACCAAAGATGAAAACAAAAACATGTAATCATATTATTGTTGAAGGCTTTGATGGCTGGAATCACTGGGTTGTTGTAGGTTTTTTCGGGCTATATGGCCATGTTCTAGAGGCATTCTCTCCTGACGTTTCGCCTGCATCTATGGCAAGCATCCAACCTCTGAGGATGCTTGCCATAGATGCAGGCGAAACATCAGGAGAGAATGCCTCTAGAACATGGCCATATAGCCCGAAAAAACCTACAACAACCCATGTAATCATATTTACACTGTATTATAAATAGGTCAGAGTTATACTCATGATAAGAAACCAAGAGAAAACGGTATCATAATAACGACTGCATAAACTGATTTAAAGCAACAGCAACAACATTTTATTACAGTCCACAGACCCATCAGTAAAACCATCAGTCATTATAAATTATCCTATCTCATGAGAAGTTCATTTTACAAGATACATCTACATGGTTTCAAGTAGTACTCCTATCAGATGTTATTTTCTTTCTCAGCCTTATTGCCACTATGAGAAATTTTGCCTCTATGAGAGTTGCCCTGTGGCACTTGTCCTCTAAAAGATATCTCACAATTCCCTGTATATTGTGAGATGGCTGGGCATGCGGGACAGGGTTGGATATAAAAGTTGGCTACATTGTAGTTGCAGCACTGCAATAAAATGTGTTCTATTGTTTCTACTTCATTTCCTTCACAGAGACATAGTCTTTGGGAGTAAGGAATTCTAGCCAGTCTGCCTCTTAGCAACTCTGAGGGAAATAAGTTTAATCTTGCCTTTGTAAAGAGTCTGTGATATTTAGTCACTGTAAGGCTGTTTAGGTATTCTCCTGTGAAGTATCTTGCATTTGTCACTATTGAACTAACAAAATGAAGTTCAACAGTGACAAATGCAAGATACTCCACAGGCAGAAAAAAGGAAATACAAAGATACAGAATGGGGGATGTCTGGCTCGAGAGCAGTATGTGTGGAAAAGACCTTGAAGTCCTCGTGGATAGCAAGTTAAACATAAGCCAACAATGTCATGTGGCGGCAAAAAAAGCCAATGGGATTTTGGCCTGCATAAAGAGGAATATAGTGTCTAGATCCACAGAAGTCATGCTACCCTTCTCTTCTGCCTTAGTCAGACCACATCTGAAATACTGTGTCCAATTCTGGGCACCACAATTGAAGGGAGATGTTGACAAGCTGGAATGTGTCCAGAGGAGGGTGACTAAAATGATCAAGGGTCTGGAGAACAAGCCCTATGAGGAGCTGCTTAAAGAGCTGGGCATGTTTAGCCTGCAGAAGAGAAGGCTGAGAGGAGACATGATGAGGGCCGTGGATCAAGATGTGAGGGGAAGTCATAGGGAAGAGGGAACAGACTGGAGACTAGGAGAATGGCTTCAAACTACAAGAAAGGAGATTCCCTGAACATTAGGAAGAACTTCCTGACTGTGCGAGCTGTTCAGCAGTGGAACTCTCTGCCCCAGAGTGTGGTGGAGGCTCCTTCTTTGGAGGCTTTTAAACAGAGACTGGATGGCCATCTGTCGGGGGTGCTTTGAATGCAACATTCCTGCTTCTTGGCAGAATGGGGTTGGACTGGATGGCCCATGAGGTCTCTTCCAACTCAGGATTCTATGATTATATGTCTTAAATGGCTCTGGGTAAGCATAGTGAATATGAGTGAGTTCTAAGCTCTCCCAGGGCAGTATCATGCAACCTTTGCTTTAGGGATTCTTGAGCCATTTTGAGTCCCAAATGCAGCTGAAAGGGTGCAGATAATCAAATTTAAACCAGGAATGGGCCAATTTCAGCCCTCCAGATGTTTTGGACTTCAACTCCACAATTCGATTCGTGGGAGTTGAAGTCCAAAACATCTCGGGGGCCAAGTTTGCCCACGCCTGGACGAAACTCTAAAGCATATTTTTGGCTCCGAGGGCAAAACCTTAAAAATCATGACCACAGCCAAATCCTTACCCAACTGCTATCGACTACGGAGTTTAATATTACATAAGTCAATGATTTGAAATGGTATCTGCAAGTTCCAGTTCAATTCAACACTATTCATGTACCAATTTAATAGTCAGAGTGTAAAATAAGATTTCTTCCATTGTCATATTCAGGTGGGAAAGTTAATCACGAAGGCTATGAATCGGCTGTGGAAAAATGGCTAATTTAATAACCAGAACATCACTGTGCCCCTGTCCTTTTTTCCTGTTTTAATTAATTAGTTACATAGAGAATGAAACCTTTGCCATAGAGTGCCATGTACATCTTCTGTTAAAACAATTACGAGAGCCAGAAATTTCAATCATACGGATTCTCAAAAGGAAGGAATGGTTTTTCTTTTTCATTCCAAAGTTTGACCGCTAAGATTTCAGAAGGCAGATGAAAGAACCCAATTTTATGCATGACCATTCTCGGACAGACTAACTGTAGATGATACCGCTACGGAGAAAAGGTGCATTATTGTAGCTAAACACGAAAATGAGGATTGCGGTGAATTTTCATTCTACTTGGGAACAGGATCATCTTATATGATGAGGCAGAACTGACTGGCTGTGAATCACAACAGAGTTAAAGCACCAGGCTCTCCTTTCATCCTGAAAAGTTCAAGGTTGTCCTATTTATTATTGCTTTTAAATATATGGCAGCTAAAAGAACTGATGCCTATGATTTTAAATTTAACTGGAATTAATGGATTCTGGTTCTGAAAAGGCAGTCAACAGATAAAAGGTGCAACGGATTAAACCATTGAGCCTGAGCTTGCAATCCTAAAGGTTGGCAGTTCAAATCCGCAGGATGGGGTGAGTTCCCTGCTGTCAGTCTCAGCTGCTGCCAACCTAGCAGGTCAAAAGCATGCAAATGTGAGTAGATCAATAGGTACTGCTCTGCCAGAAAGGCAATTGGCCACCCCATGAAGTCATGTCGGCTACGTGACCAGGAGGTGTTTATTGCCAACGCAGGCTCCACGGCTTGGAAATGGAGATGAGCACCTTCCCCAGATCCAGAGATGAGCACTGCTTCCAGAGCCGGAAATGAAAGGGGAAGCTTTTGCCTTTGTCTGTGTATTTGTGCTTCAATCTGTGTTTCAAAGGCATTGAATGTTTGCCTGTATATATGCTGGAATCTGCAGTAAGTCCCCTCGGGGAGATAGGCCAGAATACAAATAGAGTGGTGGTGGTGTTGTTTCAGAATGGAAATAAGCAAACAAGGTAGGAAATGCCAAGCAATAATTAAGATCGTATGGGGAGGCCCTGCTCTCGGTCCTGCCTGCATCAAAAGTACATCTGGCGGGGACGAGAGACAGGGCCTTCTCAGTGGTGGCCCCTCAGCTGTGGAATGCCCTTCCTACAGATATTAGATTGACCTCCTCCTTTCTTATCTTTCCGGAGGAAAGTGAAGACCTGGTTGTTTGAGCAGGCATTTGAATAGGCAGTGGAAAGAATATAGGAATATGGAACAACTGGATGATGAAATGGATCCTGATTCTAATTATGAGACGCTAACGAGATATTTAGTCATGTTTAACTGATTGTTTATTATATCATTGTTTTTAACTGTTTTTTAAAACTCTTTTTATGATGTTGAACATTGCATTTTGCTATTGTTAACCGCTTTGAGTTGCCCAAGGGCTGAGAGAGGTGGTATATAAATGAAGTAAATAAATAAATAAATAAATAAATAATATTAACTTTTGTAAGAATTAAAGAAGGACTTTCTTAAGGACCATCGTACACTTGAGGATCCCTATGCCTTTTTGATCATGGGAAATAAAACTACCCATATCAACCATTATTGGAACGTCTGGACGACGAGATGGATAATATTTTTAATTAGGAGATGCAAATGGCTTATGTTTCTATTACTTTTGTTTGGTTTTTTTACTATGTATTAATGTTTTAAATATTTTATGATGTTTTTGGGCATCAAATTGTTGCCTCTGTAAACCGCCCTGAGTCACCTGAGGGCTGAGAAGGGCGTTATACAAATATAGTAAATAAATATAAATAAATAATGGTTACCAATTATTTTTCTTCTTTTTGTGACATTTTGGAGAGGTTGGGGATAGAAGCAACTTAAACTAATAGTTTCTTATTTTTAATTTAAAATCCAAACTCTGTTGTTTAAGTGAGGCATTCTAATCTCTATCCAGAAGGTTTATTCCAAGGGATGGCTTACTACTCAATGACCTACAATAGGATTCATAACCCCAATTTCTCACATATACTTAGACTAAAGAGCATACAAACAATTTACAGACCCACTAAGAAAGTCCAACAAATGCTAAATTCAGCTAAGGACAAGAGGGATCCTCTCACCTCTGCAGGAGTTCATTGTATACCATGTAGCTGTGGACAAGTCTACATAGGGACCACCAAACACAGATCAAGGAACATGAAAGGCACTGCAGACTACTTCAACCAGAGAAGTCAGCCATAGCAGAGCACCTGATGAATCAACCTGGACACAGCATTTTATTTGAGAACACAGAAATGCTGGACTGCTCTGACAACCACCATGTCAGACTACACAGAGAAGCCATTGAAATCCACAAGAATGTGGACTATTTCAACAGAAAGGAGGAAACCATGAAAATTATCAAAATTTGGTTACCAGTATTATTTATTTATTTATTTGGTGCATTTGTTGACCGCCGCTCTCAGCCCTAGGGCGACTCGCGGCGGTGTACAACATATAAAAGGCAAATTACAAAAGGCAATACAAAACAGCATATCCACAATACAACAATTATATAATTACACTAAATGATCCGCTCCGTCTCATAGTAGAATCATAGCCAAGCTCATAATCCAAATTCCGTTCCAG